ATAACAATAACAATGATGATGGTAATAACAACAACTAGCATTCATATTGCACCTACTATGTGCCAGTTACTGTTATCTCCTTTGATCCTCATTTATTTGGTATTATCTCATCATTAATAAGATATTTAATTAATATTGAATTAATGATTAATAACATTTAACTTAATTAATGAGACAATTAATTTAATATTATCTCATTTGATTATATATACAATGCCTAGCACATAACAGGTGCTTAAGGATGCTTATTTCCCCTTTTTCCCTTCTCACTCTGCCAACATACTCTTGATTATATGCTGGGTTTTTTATGGTTTTTTTATGTTAATCACAAGTAGGAGGGATTGCAAAAATAAATGCAAATATAATAACATTAAAGAGATATAGTTTGGAGTCACGTCCAGAGAGCCAGACTTGAAGTCAGGAAGACCATAACTGAAGCCCTTCCTCTGACTCATCCTGGAGTCAGTGCACCAGGCAACTAAAGATTTAAAATCATGGTTGAGTTGCTGAACTGCAAAGGCAGAAAAAAAATTTCAATTTGGAAGTTCCTAACACAAATGAAATCACAAGTCCACACCTAACATTGTTACTGCTACTACCACTAGTACTAGTGATAGTACTGGTACAACTAAGAGGTGCTAGGAATCAACATTGAGCAAAAGGAGTATTCAGAGTAACTTTGGTGTTTCCACAATTTACTCATTGACCCTGAACTACTTTCTTCTCAATTCCTACTTGAGATATATCAGTATTCTACAATACCATCTTGACTACTGGACAGCAACTATCTATGATATCCTTGTGTACAACAGGCTCCCTTGAGATGCCATGGACAGGTAAAATGCATAAATGATAATGTCAGCAGCACTGTCACCAAAGTATTTATGTGGCCTGAAAATGGGAAGGGAGTTGTTGTCTTTTAGACCAGAGGGATTTGGTTGATGTGTAATGGTGATAATCACTAATAATAATAGCAGCATTTTTATATAGCACCTCCTATGTGTTAGGTATTGTGCTAAGTGCTTTACAAATATTATCTCATTTGATCCTCACAACAACCTTGTGAGGTAGGTGCTATTGTTATTCCCATTTTACAGATGAGCAAACTGAAGCAAACAGAGGTTAAATGACTTGTCCTGGGTCACACAGCTAGTAAATACCTGAGGCCAGATTTGACCTCAGTTCTTCCTGCCTACAGGCCCAGTGTTTCATCCACTGAACACTGAGCTGCCTCCAGTAAGCTGAATGAGAATGTGGTAAGAGTAGAGGGAATGAGCTCAGGGAGAAGCCTGAGATGAGGAGGAAGAGGATAGCTACAGCGCCAGTGGGTTTTCTTTCCTTGAAACATTATCATGCTTGGCACATTAGATTGACTACTGTATTTGGAATTAGTAAATCCAAGTTTAAAGGCCACCTTGGACTCTCAATAGCTTTCTGACCACTTATGCTCTTAGAGCCTCAGGTTCCTCATCTCTAAAATGGGGATGATAACTGCAGTCTCTACCTCACAAGACTGTTATAAGTCTCATATGATATGAGATAAGTATAGGTAAAATGCTTTGTAAACTTTAAAGCATCATATAAATCAGTTGTTAGTTTAAGCACCTCATGAATAGGAATTTTTTTTTATCCCCCAGTGTCTAGCACAATGTCCTGCACATAGTCGGTGTTTAATAAATGTTTGTTGATTAAATGAATGATTGTAGTTTTGTAGCATGTGACCCTCTGCAGCCTTTGACACTGTTGATCACCCTCTTCTCCTTGATTTTCTCTTTTCTTAGGTTTTTGGGACACCACTCTCTCTTGGTTCTCCTCCCTAGCAGACTTCCCCTTCTCATTCTCCTTTGCTTGATCTTTATCCGGGTCATACCTCCAAGGAAAGTGACCCACAAGGGTTTGTCCTGGGCCTCTTTTCTTCCTCCTCTACACTACTTCTTTTGCTGATGCTATCAGCTCCCATGGATTAATTTATTATCTCTATGCTCATGATTCTCAAATCTACCTCGCCCGCCCCAAATTCTCTGCTGAATTCCAATCTTGCATCTCCAATTTCATTTCAAATATCTCAAATTGGATGCCCTGTAGACATCTTAAACTCAACATGTCCAAAACTGAATTCATTCTGTTAATCTCCCTTTCCTTCCCTCCAAACTTCCTTACTTTTATGGAGGGTACCACCATCATCCCACTCCTCCAGGCTGGCAATGTAAGCATCATCCTCAACTCTTCACTATTTTCACCTCCCCATATCCAATCTGTGGCCAAGTTCTGGCAATTTCACCTTTGCAACATCTCTCAAATGTATTCCTTTCTCTCTTCAGATACTGCCATTACCCAGGTACCCTCATCACCTCATCACTTGAACTATTGCAATAGCCTGCTAGTTGGTCTTCCTGCCTCAAGTCTCTCCTCACACCAATCTATCACCTATTCAGCCACCAAAATGATTTTCCTAAAGCACATGTCTCACTATGTCATACACAACCTCTTCACTTATTAAACTACAGTGGTTCCCTATCCCCTCCAGTATCAATACCCAATCCTTTGTTTGGCATTCAAAGTCCTTCATAACCAGCTCACCACCACCACCTCGTACACACACACCTTTCCGGTCTTCTTATACACTATTCCCCAGTGAGACTGGCCTACTGGATGTGCCACAAACAAGACACTCCATCTCTCAGCTCTGGGCATTTTCTTTGGCTGTCTCCCATGCCTGGAATGGTGCTCCCTACTTATCTCCAACTCCTGGCTTCCCTGGTTTCCTTCAAGTTCCAACTAAAATCTCACCTTCTACAGGAAGCCTTTCCCAACACCTTTCAATTCTAGTGCTTTCTCTCTTTTATCTCTTATTTATCCTGTTTAGAGTGTGTTTGCACTTGTTATCTCTTGTTATCGTTTTTACTTGTTATCGCACCCATTAGACTGTGAGCTCCCTGAGGGCAGGGACTGTCTTTTACCTGTTTTTGTATTCTCAGTATTTAGCACCTGGCACATAGTATGTACTTAATAGATGCTTATTAACTGACTGACTAGCTCACAAGATAACTTGGAGCCTAGAGCAGTAGTCATATCTGTGGAAACACAGTATGCAAATTCATGAGCACTGAGTTGAGGGAGTATCTCAGAGGGAGTCATAGCCAATCTTATGCCAGCCAATGACCAACTGACCTACCAATTCCAAAAGGTAACTTTCACACTTCCTAAACCAATAATAGGGCATAAACAAATTGGTATGTTTTCTTTTTGAAGAAAAAATAATGATACTTCATTAAAAACTAGGTAGCATTTTTAGCCATTACCTGATCCTTTTCATCAGGATGAATTAGGAGCAGGGAAAACCATGCTTACCCTCAGAGTTAAGTCAATCCTGCAGAAGGACTAAGTTCTCTGCAATTAGCAGAGAGTAGATGGCTTCCTATTCCTCAGCTCCACCTCTCTCGAAGTAGTCCTGAAATCTCATTAATCTTGAGGGTGTCATCATGATTAATTACTCAAACAGAATTGCCTATCCTATTTGAAAACCCTACCTCTTTCCTGAACTTAGTATATTTCACTAAGCTCTAGTCACCTGACTTTGGCATAGTGGAGTCAACACTCCATAGGGACAGACAGAACATACTTAACCTAAAATGTGTTAGTCTCTGGAGAGAATCAATAAAAACAATACAACCATACATGGTTAAAAACACATACACACACATACACACACACACACACACACACACACACACACACACACACACACTGGCCATAAGGCTGAGTATCCACTTCTGCTAGAGCGAGGAAGCCCCCAGGCAGTACACGGGTCATTCCATGGGCCATTTCAAGCCCAGGAGCTCTAGAGAAGAAACAGTTTGGCATGTTAACTTGCCATGGTTATTCCTTCTATAAGCAGGCAAAGAAAGTTCAACAGTACAACATAGTTTCCGGCTGATGTCCATCTCAAGCCATCCAATAATGCTAGTCATTAGATGAGGACTCAGAATCCTAGCCCCTGGTCTTGGTTGATCACAGAGATCACGGGTATGGACTCCAGACAGAATTCAGGATGCAGTTCATACTCCCAGGGCTTTTCTATCCAGTTTCCTGTTGCTGATAGGGATCTCCAACTGCCTCTCCCTCCAGTCATTTAGGGAACAAGAAAAATGGATTCAATGTCATGACCCAGAAGGGTAAGCCTTCCATAAAGGCTTCTGCCCTGGCATTCCCATGACTTTAAGACCAGTTCCAGTTGTCTAATGGCTGGGAGGAACAACACATTCTCCCCATTCCTCTGACTTTGGTCCACAGCAATTGCCTCTTGGTTACCATATCTCATCACTTTCCTTTTTCTCCTTACCAAGCAGTGAAAACCCAGCAACTCATTGGAGAGAGGAAGAGGCTGATGAGCTGCAGTGACTGCCCTGCAGTATAGTGTCTACTAAGCTTGTAGAAACACCACACATTTTGAGCATTTTGTCCTCCTGGACAAAGAAATGGATTGGGTGTTTCTTTCTTTATACTTGTGCAAGCATGAATGAGTAGTAATCTGCATCACTGGGGGAAAAATATATTGATGAGGCCACAGTTGCCATGAAGAATTAGTAGACAAGGGGCAGATAGGTGGCACAGTGAATAGAGTCAGGAGGACCTGAGGTCAAATCCAGCCTCAGACACTTAACACTTATTAGCTGTGTGACCCTGGGCAAGTCATTTAACCCTGATCACCTCACCAAAAAAAAAAAATAAGAATTAGTAGACAAAGGGTAAATATAATTTCTGTGTTGTATACTTTGCCTAGATCTGTTGGCAAACAATTACAACTGTAAGAAAAAGGATTTACATGTAGGGCTTTGAAATCCTCAGAAGAATTATATTATAGGAGACTCGAATATTCCTAGTTGGATTCTTCTCAGAGGTCTACCAAGATTCTTCATTTTGGAAAGATAGAGGACAGAGAAGAAAGGGGAAGTCATGAGAAAGAGAAGAGATAAGAAAGGAGGAAAAAAAGCATTTACCTCTATCATAATTATCTTCTTCAACTGCTTTTTCCTGAAGTTTCTGAAGCTTCAACATCAAGGATTTTATCTAGATCAGTTGGAGAGAAAAGGAAAACTAAAATTACAATACTATCCAGACATTCAGTTTCTTTCTCCCCTTTTTTAAGTTGGAACAATTTGGAAACTGTGCTCTTCTCCTTTTAAAAATAACCAGACATACATTTTTCACGGGCCAACTGTAAAATGCATGAGCTTTCCCAGAAAAAAAAATTATGTGAAGAAAAATTGTAACTTGAGTATAAAATCCACAGAAAAAGTTAGAAAGTTATTTTAAACAAAAACATCACATTGAGGCCTTATCTGCAAGGGAAAAAATGCATAATGAAAAGGAATGCTAATTTCCTGACCAAATGTTCTCTGTTCTAAAAATCACATTAAAGTTATGAATGTAAACACACCAGAGAGAGAAGAAACACAAGAGCAGAGGTTCTTATGGGTACTTAAGCTGAGGCACAGAAGGTTGTCTTGAAGACAGAGTAGGAGTTCACTAGAAAACCTTGGACAGACCTTTACAACCTATATAATGTTTTTCCAGATCTTAAAAAAAAGTTTAATTACTTTCTATTCAACATCCAGAGACAAAATGCTAGTTATCTAAGCATTTATTGTTGGAACATTCATTTCTAATTGTCTTTTTTCTCAATATTTGGCAAAATGCTTTTATGAAGGAGCCAAGAAGGAGGCTTCTACCTTGGCCTTGGCTCTGCCAATGGATGGACTTGGGCTTAACACTTGACCTCTTTGTCTCTCGGGTTGTCCATCTGTGAAATGTGGCTAACACCAGCCCCATTCTACATAAATAGGTATTTTGTGAAAATAAATGATACAATGTCTGTGTGTGTTCTTCAGGACCTATTGAAACCCAAGGTATTATCACCATTGTTATACCTATATACTTATGTTCTAGAAACACGTGGGAACATCTGAGGAAATTCAAGTATGGAGAGGTTGGAGGATTCCCCTAATTATACAGAAACTCATTCAAAATCATTTTTTCACTGCAAAAGCATACCACCTCTTACTCTCCCAAAAAGAACCTGCACAATAAAAGACCACTAAAAGGAAATCCTGAGTATAATTATGCAGAGAGCAGATAATGAAACAAGCTTCCCTCTGCTCTACAGAAAAATGAGAGGCTGCTGTGAACTGTCAGGAAGCTACAGGTGGATTAACCTCATTTTGCCCTCCTGCCATCATAAATGACAGAATGTTACATGCAAAGCCAGACCCAGTTGCTGTGTATTGGCTCTTTTTACTTAGTTGTTTTTGCTTAAAAAAAAAAAAAGGAGGGTTCAATTCCAAGGAGGAGGGGTTATATCCAGAAATGATTGTCATACAAAAATAAAAAATATAGGTAAGTCTTTTAATTAAAAGAACGTTTAAAAAAGTATTCTCTGACTTTGTAAGGTAGAGATATCAGTAGAGGTTCCCTAATCATTAGTGGAAAGGAGAAAGAGGAAGGGAAGGAGAGAGCGAGAGAGAAAGAGAGCGCGCATGAGAGTGCAAATAGTGCCTTCCATGTTTCTTTAAGACTCCATATCCCAATGGGAAAGAGTTGAACTTGAGATAAAGGGCTCTTCCTCCGTATCTTTATTCCTCCACTGGCTATTTCTCAGTATTTCTTTTGAACCTACACACTTCCTGAATGGAATTCCTGCCAATGGCCCCCAGGAAGACATCTGTAGCCAGCAGGTGGTGTAGTTGGACACAGGGTGAAATAAGATTTAGGTTCAAATCCAGCCTCTGAGACTTACTAGTTGTGTAACCCTGGGCAAGTCACTTAACTACTCTGAGCTTGCTTTTCTTCATCCATAAAATATGGATAATGACACCTATGGTAGCATGGCAACAACTTCACTGTGTTGCTGTGAAGGTCTCTCAAATGAGATCATGAATGTAAAGTGCTTTGTAAACCTTGAAGTGTTACATCATGATCAACTCTTATTATCCACACACCCCCACATGATACTGGATATTACTTAATATTATATTCCCAAGGTAAATATACTTATCCAAGAAGAAGGGTAAGGAGGATTTGGTAATTAGAAGAGACTATGAAATAAAATCACTGCCTCTCTATGACGCTGGATATTACTTAATATATTCTCAAGATAAATAGACCTATCTAACGGGAAGAATGAGGAGGATTTAATAATTAGATGAGACCGCGGGGGAACAAGTCACTGCTCTTTGCAAATACTATTACAGTCAAAGGATGTATAAGCCACCATTCCAATCCAAAGGAATCTTACGTGCATCATTAGATAGAATAAAGGTCAAATTAGCGGGAGGAGAAGGGTGGGATGACTTTTTATTTACTTTCTTTTGGGACGAATTCTGATTTTCAAAAAGCCTCTTCTGAACAACTTTTTCTAAGAGAAGGGCATCGAGATACAGTAGCTTACCACTCCTGCCAGCTCTGGCAAGCATCCTGGCACCTCGGGCATTCATTTGACCAGGCTACTTGGTAGAGGCTATAAGTGAGACAAAGACAAGGAATAAAGCAGCTCTGCCTCTCTTCCTTGTCTTTTCGCTTATGTGCTCAATAGAGTCAGGCAGATGCAGGGGACAGGCAACAACTTCAAAGGACAAGAGCAGCAAATGCTCATACTGATTCTGCCCCATACTTGCTGTGTGCTAAAAATGCTTTCATTTTTCTGGGTCTCAGTTAGCTTTAAATGGGAATAGCAATAATTCATCATAGAGTTGTGAAATAATAAAAGCAGATAAAGTCTTACTATAAAGCATCGTCACAAATAATTGCTGCAGAAAGACTCATAATCAAATCTTAATGGCAAACAGGCAAGAGAAGAGGATTTTCCAGTAACTTAAAAGAGTTTTGTTTTGTTTTGTTATGTAATTGGGGGAGAGGGCAATCTGCACCACTGATTTCCTCAGAAGAAGGAACTCCTAACAAGGAAATTCATTCCATCAATACAGATCAACAATTTTGTAACTTAGGGTCTTAGAGAGAGTTGTCTGAAGCACTGAGGTTAAATGACTTGCCTATATATTGAACCCAGATATTTCTGACTCCCAGACCAGCCCTTTAACCATGACTCCACATCATGTCTTATTATTTGTGTTTACTCTTTGTGCCTTATGAATGATTGTCCTTCCCACTATAAAAACATAAAATCAAATCATAAAATCAGAATTTGAGCCCTCCTGATTCTCAGGTTTACTGACTCTCTATCCACTCTACCATTCAAACTTCCAAAAAGTCTAGCTGTAGCTCCTTTGGAGGTGGTTAAATTGTGGTTGGCTTAGCAGTATTTGGCCATAAATTATAATCTACTCATTTTAAAGTTTATATCTGAAGGGGGAGAGGTATGGTTGGGGCAGAGGAGAAATATGATCATGCATTGTGTTAACCTTACATATGTTTCTAAATATCTAAATTGAATCAAGTACTAAATTAGAAATGAATTAAAGCAGCCTCCTAGCTCCATGGACACTGCTGTTCCAAACCAAGCCATCCCCCCCTACACATAGACATTCCCCCATACCCCAACTTCAACTTTTGATCCAAAATGCTAACTTAATACCACTGGTCCTGTTGCTCCTCCAAGGACCCAAATTTGCTTAAAGGCTTCACAACCTCCAGCTTATCAAAAGCTCTCTGTATTTAGAGTGATGTGATCCATATCCCAGTAAGAGGATTGGAAAAGAAGGGGAAATCTGGCTGAAGTCACCGGCCTTCTTCATGCCAAATCTCATAGCCTTGAGCAGAGTTGTTGCCAAGGTAAGTTTTTTGTTTGGTTGGAAGGCTTAGGATTTTGTTATTGGGCAGGAGGGATAAAAGCGGGGGAGGGAAGAGGAAGTGGAGGCTGAGGAAAGAGGTTGTCAGAAACAATGGAAATATTCTTACTTTTTTCCTCACTTTGTCAGTACTTGAACTGGCAACAAGACTTTTTTTTTAATCACTCTCCTGTCTGAAAATAGTGTTGCTGTTGTTGTTGTTGTTTTAATTGGCATTTTAAGAATGGAAAATCACGCCACACAGTCAGTTGAGATTTCATTCCTTTGTATATAAATACTGGCTCCCAGATCAAACCCTTAATACCTATGTGTTCAACCTAAATGCCTATCAAGTCAATATCTGTGGCACATTTTGACAACTACAAAACCAAGCCACAGTCACATTTTCCCTCCAGTGGGAAAGAGACTTTTGGCTCCCTCATCATGGAGACCAAAGCAAGCAGGGACTGAGGCCAGGATGTTGGGGGTTGAGCTGGACAGCTAAAAACAAAACAGAAAGGACTTTTTAGGAATATCAATAACTCCCCTCCCTACTTTTTCCCCATTTAATAAACATTAAGCATCCACGATGTACAAAACACTGTTTTCAGACACTTTCACCTAATGCATGATAAGTACAGTCAGAGGAACTGAGTTCAAGTTTTGACTATCACTTCCTACCAGAGTGATCATGGGAAAGTCATTTAGATTCTCTGGGCCTCAGTTTCTTCATTTGTAGTGCTGGAATCGGCTAGGTCAAGGGTTCTCAAACTAGAGTATAAATTTGGTTTTTTGTTGTTTTGATAACTGCATTTAAATATTAGTTTTTTAATCCTATGTATTTTATTGTGTGCATTTAAAAACATTATTCTGAGAAGAGGTCCATAGACTTCAACAAAATGCCAAAGAAGTCCATGACACAAAAATTGGACTATATGATTCCTAAGGTCCCTTCCAGCTTTATATCCTATTATCCAAATCCAATGCTACTGATTATGTCCATATGTGCGTACACAAAACACACACACACACACACACATGCACACACGCACTTGCTTTACTCATAAATGAAATACATAATTCTTCAAAAAGGGCAGACCCCTCATCTCACTAGCTGATTTCTCTAGTAACATTCCAATTAAGGGATATTTATCCCTAACCCCTAAAAGATACATCAACTAACATGCTAAATCTTACGCCACCCCAAACTGCCAGTAAATCATACCTACATATCTTCCTAATAATATGAAAGTAATGTTGTCATAGTGAAGAGGTCTAGAGGTTTGG